TGGTAGAGACACACCCCACGCCAGCGTAGTCAAATACCACTCAGCATCCTTCGATGACAGGCCAGTTCCACACTTCGCAGAAACGTTCCAAAAAATCGTGGGCGAACTGCGCTACATAAAAGACTGCACCCGCCCCGACATAAACTTCTACGTCACTAAGCTGTCCGGCGCCATGCACAACCCAACCAAAAGACGGGCGGCACTGGACGTGCGGCAGAAGAGCGGGGAGACGGACCTTGTGACGCGGGCGGACGAGGCGGCGCAGGCGGCGGTGTTCGCGGGGGTGCGCGCGGCCTTCCCGTCGCACGCGTTGTTGGGCGAGGAGGGCGGCGAGGGCACGCGGCTGGGCGGCGGCACGACGTGGGTGGTGGACGCGGTGGACGGGACGACCAACTTTGTGCACGGGCTGCTCGCGTGGGGGGTGTCCATCGGGGTGGTGCGCGACGGGCGTGTGCGGGTCGGCGTGGTGTACGCGCCGGAGCTGGGGGAGGTGTTTTCGGCGGTGCGCGGGCGCGGGGCGGTGGTCAACGACCGGCCGATGCGGGTCGGCGCGGCGCGCGCGCTGGGCGAGGCCCTGGTGGTGAGCGAGTGGGGGTACGAGCGCGGCGAGGGCGTGGCGGCGATGCTGGCGGTGAACGGGGCGCTGCTGCGGCGCGGCGTGCGCGGCGTGCGGCAGATCGGCAGCGGCTCGCTGGACATGTGTTACGTCGGCATGGGCAGGGTGGACGCCGTGTACTGCGGCGTCGGCCGCGGCGACGCGTGGAAGGTGTGGGACTATTGCGCTGGCGCGCTCATCGCGGAGGAGGCCGGCGCGCGCCTCACGGACGTGCGCGGCGGCGCGTTTGACATCGAGGGCGATAGTATGGTGTGCGCCGCGCCCGGCGTGCTGGCGGAGCTGCTCGAGGTTATCGACGAGGGTATGCGCGAGGTAGCCGCGGGGGAGGGTTAGAAGTTCTCGAAGTGCTCTTTTGTTGACTGTTTTGTGATTCACACACAAATTGTTGACTCTTGAGAGAGGCCGCTTCATGAGAATTCATATTTTCGGGTCCTTTTCACGATGGTCAAAATGCGGTTTTCACCGTGACGATCTCGACCACGGTGAAAACGGCTGTTGGTAAGATTTTCCGGACGTTTAGCATCAAAACCCTATTTTCACGTTTTAAATTTCGTTGTACATGTGTCGTCGCTGTCGGCAGTAGTTTCTGTCATATCGAAATGTTGCGCATTGCTGTTCCCAATCTTCAAATCTTCGAAAATATTACTGCTAGCCGTGACTTTGAGGACCAGTTATTTCTACCGTGGCCAATTTGTCACGGTGGAAAACACCATCGGCACGGTGCAAATGACCCCCAGAAAACAGAATTCTCATGAAGCGGCCTCTGAGAGTCAACAATTTGTGTGTGAAATGACGGACATCCGTCAGACTCTGTCAGCTGGTCAGCTGGACGGCGCCAGGAGCATTGGGTATTTGTTAAAAATTTTAAAGTATTCCTGGCAAAACCGGGCAAGGCAAGCAAAAACCAGCCTGTTAAGACACACCCTCACTGTATTGACTCGTCTTTGTCAATCGTGTACCGTGAAGTGAAGGGATACTTGCGCAAAAGAACACGGTCAAGGTGGGGTAGATGGGATTTACGGGAGCGGCTGCTGGCTGTGGAGAGAGAAGGAAGGCTCTGGAGAAAATCGTCAGTGTAGGCAGGGAAAGGGACGTTCGCGTGTGGTCCAAAGATGAAATAGTTGATGAAGTGATGATGCGAGGAATTGTTGCGGTCCTGGTCGAAAACAAGCACTGCAGCCACTCTCACGAGGCTAGTGTCTAGACGACCGGCAATTTGCCTCATATGAGGTCACCCTTGACCTCATATGAGGTCAAATGCTCTACAGTAAAATTTAAACAAAATTTAAGATTTTCGCAAGTGTAGAACAAAAGGAGCACAATTTTTACGAAGTAGAACTTTGAACGACTATAAAGACAACTATAAACGACTAGTTAGTAACTGACAAGCCAGCTCAGTGGTCTACAAGGATCGCTGAGTCTTAGAGGCCGGGGTTCAACTCCTCGCTGAGCACTTTAGTGGTCGAAAAATCCCTTCGGGGATCTCGATCGTTCTTGTTCGTGACCTGCAGCCCAGGACGCTTTATAGCGCCCACTCGAACATGAGATTGAATACGGTGACATCTCATAAAGGGGCATTCCGACACGGCTGCAGGTCTTCCAAGCAAGTCTTTAGACGCAGGATAGAACCATAGGGGGCAAAAGGAGTTTTTTATCTCTTTTTGCTCTATTTTACTCAAATGCTGACCCATTTAGTCAGTTTTAATGGCCGAGAACGCCTCAAGCACTAGTAGTACTTACCTTTGTGAGTAAGATCGTCTCGTTCGTCGACATGCTTCCTAAAACAGTCACGCCCAGTCTGGTGATGACAAAGGTATACTTCTTTGTCAAAATATACCTTGCAGGCTGAGCAAATAAACTTTGACTTTTTTGTACCTTTGCAAATATTGCATCTGGATTGATAAAGAGCACAAGTATCCTCGCCGGATGCTTTTTTCCGCTTGCGAGTGGTTGGAGTTAGGTGAGTACCAATTCCACTGCCAAACCCAACATCTTCATCTTCAACAGCACTGTCTGATTCTCGCTGACGTAACGATATACGATCATACTTGTTATCAATCAACTGGTCAGCAAGCTCACAATAAAACTGATTTGGAGACATCTTAGAACCATCTCCTTTTGCACCTGCATACAGTTTCCATGCATCCACAATGAAAATGGCCAATAAAGAAGTGTTGACACGCATAGACCACTCCTTGACTTCGAACTTCTTTTCCAAGCCGAGATCACCCGTACGAGATCTGTTGTGGCGGTCAATCTGAGAGCAAGTTTCATAATACTGCTCACAGACTGAGGGAATACGGATAGACAATTCCTCTTTTCTTGTCACGCCATGACGTGTACGCCATCTCTCGCGGTAGATTGGAGTTCCTTCGTTGGATGTTCCTACAGAACTAATAAAGTATCTGCGGTCTCGGTCCACCCACATCACTGCCATGAGATGAGGCCCGGCCACCGGCTTCGAAACTAGTGTGACGTGCTCTCCCTTTTCAGCAATCTCCAGATGAGATAGATATTTCATCGGATATTTCTTGGTAGATGTCTTCACTACACCTGTGAATCTAAGACCTTTCTCATAAAGTGATTCAGCCGTGTGGACAGAAGCAAAGTACGAATCCGCGCAGACAACACGATTGGTGTGAAACCATGGCTGTAACAACCTCAAAGTCACTGCCGTTCCGTGTAAGTGGTCACTTTCAAAATCCTTTAAAGAAGTCTCCTCAGCTGAGACAACGTTCTCAATTCTTATTATGATTCCACTTTTTCCACATGCAGCAGTCTTCAACTCACAGCCATTCTCGGGTTTTCGGTCCATGGCCACATAATGAGGAAGACCGGTTTCAATCCAATCTCCTCCAAGTCCATACCAGCGTGACATACTCTCATCAACGCAGATGTTCTGTGATGGAATCACATGTGATGCTCTGTGATCATTGATTGCGACCATGAAGTCCCTGATCATACCCCATCTGTCATTTGAGTCAGCTGGAAAGCTGAACGTGACATTCTAACGAAGCTCCTCGAATCTTCTGCGGGAGATGATGTTTCCGAATTGAGGTTGCGGGAGATATTTGCTGGTTTCCTGTGAGCTCCAAAGAGACCTTCTGGTGCTGAATTCAATCCGAGTCATAAGGATTAGCACCCCGAAAAACTTCAAAATTTCACCTCTTGTAGTCGAGCGAAGTCCCCTTGATTCCATTGCATCGTTGGTGTAGGAAACCATTAATGCCAAGTGCTCCTGTGGGAACATCCACATGAAGTAGTCCATGGGATGCATTTGAGATGGACTGTGACCACGGGATATAATCTCATCAATCGGTCCAATCACCTTCCATCTTCTCGGCGGTATCATACCATTTAAATGCATCGTGACTTCCTCACGCTTCCAGGCCCGGCCGTGGACATTCATGAGGCCATCTTGGGAATCCATTTCGTCACTCTCGGAGATTCTCGTACTCGGGCTGAGTGCTCCTTCCAGTGGCGTCACGCGGTCCTCTGTAGGCTCCGGTTGCGCATAATGTTCAGTTTCTTGATGGATATGATCTTCAGGACCGTCATCGATCAGGTCCATCACTTCACCAGCCTTGATGTTAGCTATGCGAAGCGTGACTTCCCTGACGCCATCTGATAATTCCCATTTAGCCCTGACTGAAGTGACACTGCGACCCTTCACTTTGTCAGTTTTCATGCTAATGACAGTTCCCGTGACCAACTTGATCTTCCAGGAGGCTCCATACATGCGACGACATTTACTCTGAGCTGTGAGCAGTCTTGCACGAGTGTGGACGCGGTTACCTGCAATAATTCGAGGATCATTGACGCTCACCATTTTGAAGAAATTTTGGGAAGAGGAAGACGAAAGCGTGGATTAGGGAAGACTGAGATACGGAATTGAATGTTTTCTGGTTTGCCAACGTTTAGTACTCTAGTCGTAAGCTTTTCACTACAGTAGCGATAAATTTCTACAATTATTCGAATTGCAAAAGCCCGCCTAAAAACTGGCCTCATATGAGGCCATTTGTCACCTAGACACTAGTGTATACTGGACGGACGTTT